AAGTTAGAGACACGTGTCATTTATCTCACCGTTGCTTTTTAAAATGTTGCTTTTATCTCGTCCGTTGGATCTCTGAACCGCCTTTCACTTCAACAGTTTCTTCAACTTCCCTTTTTAGATCACAAAAAAGGTTTATTCAATTTTTAGTTTTCACTTTTTCCTTTCCTTCAATTTTCTTCGTCGAGCAATTATCTCTCCACATCTTTTGGTAATTTATTGACGAGTTTTCCTTGTTTCTCAGTGTTCTACTTCTCTATACTGCCTCCTTCTTTCCTCAGTAGTTATTATTTTCTTTTGTTCGTCACTATCGCTTTTTCATCATTCTCGCATTAACTATTGTCGAAGGTATTCTCAAACTCTAACTTTAATTTTGCATGTTATTTTTCTTTGCTCGACTTTTGGGTTTTTTTTTTGAAATAAATGTCTGAAAATAGCATTGAGGAAGATTTGCCTAGTCTTAGCACTGTTAGGCGTCGTTTAATTAGATAATCTTTAGGTAAAGAAGTCGGTAGGGATCATGGTAATTCATCATCTCTATCTGATAACATAGACTTCCCCTTTGAACCTTTAACCTCCGAGGAGCAAAAACGTGCCTATATTCATCATAGGATTATTGCTTTTCGTGAACAGTATATGAATCCGAGCAACCCTGATATCCCTGCCGATATTGAAATTCTTCACGTTGAGCCTGTTAGTGTCCGTTATCATTTACGCAGCTTTGCCGAGGAACGACATTTTGATCAATACGGCACTAACGTTGGCAATATAGGTATAAGTATTATGCCGAGAGTAAAGCATACCAGCTATCAGCCTGAGGTCGTTGCCCGTGAGGCTGCTGAAGAGGCTGAATCCAGTGAAAACCTGGCAGGCATAGGTCGTGAGTTCTTCTAAATCAGATGACAAGGAAGTCCCTTCAAACCCACAGAGAAATCAGCCCTCTCCTGTGCACGATTCTACCGTTAATTCTGTTCTTGGCGATGATGCAACTCAAGAAGGTAGTGTCAACACTGAGAGTAGAGAGGACGTTATTGACATGACCGCGGAGGTTATCCAGGAACAGAGTTTGGACGATGGATACAACTATGAGACAGATGGAGCGGAATTCCGACAACCCCTCGTCTTGGCCGACGACGGCAAAATTGCAAAAGCTAAAATAAATGAAACTTTTCAGAAAACGACCCTTGAAAAAGATTACTTCCGTCAAGCTAAAGCATTTTATAACCTCCCTGACGAGTATGAGCTGATAATTCCTCCTTCTAGGTCTTCAGTACTAGATTGTCCGGCAGGTTGCGTTGCCGTTTACGCAAAGCATTTTGATTTTGGCCTTCATTTTCCTCTCCATCCTTTTGTTGCCAAAATTTTAAAGGCTTGGAATGTTTGCTTAGTACAGTTAACTCCTCCCACTATCCGTGTCGTTATTGCCACGGTATGGGTTATGTTGTACAGAAATTACCCATTGACCCGTAATGCGTTTAGACGATTGATTACCTTCAAAAGAGATGGACAATCGGTAGGGTGGTGGTCCTTGTATACCCAACCTCATAAGTATACCGTCCACCCTAAGTTGTCAAGCTGCAAAGGCTGGCAAGACAAATTTTTCTCCATATCTGTTCCTAATGATTTCCCACTCAGAAGAACATTTTTCATTCCTTACCCAAGGTTTGATTCTATTCCCAGAAAGATCTCGGCAAACACGAGCGCAGGGCTGTTAATCACTTTGATATTTTGGAATCTGATAATAGCGACGGCAAAATCCGTCTAACTCCCAAGGTGTGGGTGCCGAATGTGAGTTACATTCTCAGCAACGCGCCTCTATCTCGTGTCAATCTTTGCTGGACTGACAATCATGGTATTAATTTATTTATAGTTATTAACTTATACTTTTTTTTCTCTTCTTTATTATTATTATTATTATTTTTAGTGTATCAGTTTTTATTTTAACTCAATTTGACATTCTTACTCATCAACATTTCAGGTATCGACAAGCTAGACAACAAACAGCTTGAGTTGTGTGCTGACGGAAGTAGGGTTATTAAGCGCTGTCCAAGAGCTTCAAAACCCTCTTACACACTCTTGCCTCATATTGTAGTCGTGTTCTTGCCGTTAGTGCTAAAAGAAGGGCTGAAAAGATGGCTGATGATAACGCAAAGAGAAGGAAATTGACTTCTTTCGCTAACCGTCAAGGTGGGGGTGCTGGAGCTAACAACCCAAGACAACCTGATGGGCGTGCTGCAAAGAAAAATCAAGCCGAGGACCAGGGGTTACCCCCTTCTCCCAAAGTTCAGGACAAAACAGTCGTTCAAAGTCTTGAACCTGCCACTAAACAGATGGCGGAAGGGGTGGAGATTGAAGACCTCACCAATACTCCTGAATCTCCTCGCACTCAGCCCAACACTACCAGCCAAATGATAACTCAACCCATTCCTACTGTTGCCGGCAGTTCTGATACCAGCATTCCTGGTCTCATATATCGGGACAAACAATGGATCGAGCGCCCTAATGGGAGGTTTCCAGAAGAAGTTCTTAAAGGTTTTACTACACCTCCTGGCCATTCTGGAGATCGTTGGCATCCCGCTATCGATGCATGCCGGAATGAGTCGATGATTACCGATGATCCAATGCAAGGTGGAACTCTTAGATATCGGCTTCTGAGTAATTTGACTCTTCCAATGGACAGACCTGCCGCTGCCTTTGGTCCTCTTGCTGCCCTACATATGCACAACATGATGAAGGTACTGAATCATCGCATTCGTCATCATCATTTATATTTTTATTTGCTATTATTTTCACCCCTTCACTTGTGCTGACTTACACTCGTTTTATTCTCATTTAGGCTGTTATGTCTGGTATTGAGCTTGTAGAAATGTACCGATATTATCAAGAGAAACATTATCAGGCTTCTACTAGCCAGATTTTGCAGAAAACGGCCTTAGACAACGCTGACAAGGCTCTAAGTAATAAGACCCTTGCATTAACATATCCTTAATTCGATATGGTCCTTCCCAATTCGCTGTCAACTTTCCATCCTCATTCCCTTTTCCTGTTGCCGCTGTTCTTCGCAACACCAGATCCCCTGTACACAAAGGGCGATATGCAACCCATTTGTTGTAAGCTCTTGACATTCTATCCTTGTAGGCAGCTGATTTAACTGCGGCCTTCCCCCGTACTTTTGGTAGGAAATCCAACTATTGTCGTAACAACAAATCATTTTGATCTTCACAAAAATGCTGAATTCTAAATATCGGCAACCCTACCTCTGCCGACACCACTGCCTCTATACCAAACACCAACGTGAAAAGAGATTCCCCCGTTGCTTCTTTAACCGTTGTCCTGTTTACCCAGAGGATTTCCGGTATCAAATCAGCCCATAAACCCTTTGCATCTTCAATTTTCTTTTTAATTGCCACTATGATCTGTTTATTCGCCGCTTCAGCCTGACCGTTTGACTGTGGATGGCATACTGCTGCTTATGCAAACTTAACTTTGTACATTGCCAAAAGTTCTTTAACTGGCTTACAATCAAATTGTGATCCATGGTCAAAGACCATTGCCATCGGAAACCCAAATCTGGTGAAGATACTTTTCCAGATAAACTTTTTTACTTCCGACGATTTTATCTTTGTTACCGGTTCTGCCTCTATCCATTTCGTGAAGTAGTCAACCCCTACTATCAAAAACTTTCTTCCTCGTGTTGCTGATGGAAATGGCCCTACTATATCCATCCCCCATTGAGCAAAAGGGACCGGATTAAGCATCGGCGTTAAATCATTCGGTGGAAAATTGATTACAGGCGCAAACTTTTGGCATTTCTCGCATTTTTTCACATATCTGACTGCATCTTCATTCATGGTCGGCCAGTAATATCCCCTTCTCATTGCTTCTCGTGATAGAGCCCTTGCACCGAGATGATTTCCGCAAGTGCCTTCATGTATTTCTTTGAGCAACCTGGAAGATTCAAAATCCGTTATGCACCTTTGCAACGGTAGTGAAAATCCTCTTTTGTATAACTGACCCTGATGCATAATAAACCACACATTGTCTTTTCGCAATTTCTTAGACTCCCCTTATCAAGCGGTAATGCTCCATATAGGAGATAAGCTAATATTTTATCAAACCACTGAGTGTCGTTACTGATACACATTACTTTCTTTGACTCTTCATCTATACTCGTTTGCTTTAAGATTTCCACCATGACCGTTCTCTCTAAGTCATTAAAGCTTGAACTGGCTAATCTTGTCAACGCATCAGCCTGGGCGCTCTGTACTCTCGGTATCAACCTTATTTCAAAGTACTGCAACTGTGCTGTTAACTGTTTCATCTTTTCAAGATACTTTATCATTGTTGGCTCTCGTGTTTCATATTCTCCGGTATACTGACTGGACACTAACTGAGAATCAATTGTTAGAACAGCCGTTTTGCCTCCGCCGCTATTGATAACTGAACCCCAGCTATTGCAGCTTCATATTAGGCTTCATTGTTAGTGGCCTTGAACTTAAACTTTATTGCATATTCAAAAACTTTTTCAACTGGGGCCGTTATAACTATTCCCGCTCCTGATCCGGTTGATGTTACGAATCCATCTACCGAAATCTGCGATATTATAAGCTGATAGTAAATATTTCACACGTCAAACATTTTTATATCATAAATGTTAAATATTAAAAGCTTTAAATCGTTTATATATCATTAACATTTAAACTGTAAACCATTAAAACTTGCCAAGTGCCCAATTCCTCCTCTTCATCATTGTATGAAGTTTCCACAATGAAGCTAGATAAAGCCTGGCTTTTATTGAAACTATGGGTTTGTAATTTATCTCATACTCCGACAACTCTGCAGCCCACTTTAACAACCGACCCGATGTATCCATGTTGCGTAAAGACTTTTCTAATGGATGATTTGTCAAAACATCTATTGGATGCGCATCAAAGTACGGTCTTAACTTTCTAGCCGCTATCACCACTTCCATTGCCATCTTTTCAATTACAGGATACCTGCGCTCAGCCGCATTTAAGACATGACCAACAAAGTATATCGACATCTGCTGCTTCTTTCTTTCGACCAACAACACTGCGACTATTGTTTTTGGAGATGCCGAGATATAGCTGTAGCAATTCTCCCCTTTCCAGCCTTGCGACTGTTGGAAGAGATCTCAAGTGATTCCTTACCACTTCCAATGCATCCCTTTGCTCTTTTCCCCATTCAAATGCCTTGTTCTGCCGCAAAGCTACAAAAAATGGAAGCGCTTTATCAGCAGACTTGCTGATGAACCGTCTTAACCCTGCCATCCTACCAGTCAACCTTTGTATATCCCGAATAGTTTGCAGTTGTTTCATCTCAAGCACCGCATTCACCTTGTCAGGATTTTATTCCTCGCTCACTAACCATAATACCCATAAAATTCCCTGATCGAACCCCAAACAAATACTTTCCGGATTCAGCTTCATCTGATATTTCCGCAATGTTTCAAATGTTTCTTTGAAATCAGCTATGTGATCCTCCTTCTCCTTACTTTTAACTATTTTATCATCCACATACACCTCCACATTTCGGCCCTTCTGCTTTTCAAAAATTTTATCAACTAGCTTCTGATAAGTTGCTCCAGCATTGTTCAACCCAAACAGCATTGCCTTATAACAATGTACTCCAGCATCTGTTATGAAGGCTGTTTTTGCCCTGTCAGCCTTGTGAAGGCTGACTTGGTGATATCCCGAGAATGCGTCTAAGAAACTGAGCATAGCATGGCCAGAAGTGGAGTCCACCAATCTATCTATTCGGGGCAATGGATAACAATCCTTGGGACAAGCCCTGCTCAAGTTTGTAAAATCTACACATATACGCCACTTCCCCGTCGGCTTCCTCACCATCACAACATTTGCTAACCATTCAGGATAGGCACATGGTTCAATAAACCCTGTTGCCAAGAGCTTATTAACTTCAGCCTGTATAGCTTCTATCTTCTTAGTTGAGAAATTGCGCTTCTTCTGTCTTATCGGTCTGAACTTCCTATCTACATTTAATTTATGCTCCATCACTTCTGGATGTATTCCCGGCATCTCACTTGCTAAAAATGCAAAAATGTCTGCATTTTCACGCAACAGACTTATCAAGTGACATCTCATATCAACATCCATATCTGCTCCAACTTTAACTGTCCGACTTGAGTTTCCCGGTTGTAACTCAATTTGCACTGTTTCTCCACCTGGTAACGGCCTCGGGATCTCTTCTGGCCTTGCATCAAAATTCTTCATAGCCAAATCCTGCGTCGTTGGTTCTTTTTCCTTCCTTGAATTATTCGGTATTGGACCGTTCGCAACTGGATTCTTTAAAGCCGTTAGTTACATAATAAGACTTTGCCATTACCTGGCCCTCATGTACCTTCTCAACAGCTCCCAAATTTGACACATAAGCTATCGTGAGATGATAAGTTGACACTACTGCCTGCACATCATGGATTATCAGTCTGCCGATAATTGCATTGTAAGCTGACGACACATCAACTACCAGGAACTCTGCCATCATATCTCTCGCTTTCGGCCCATCACCCATTCTGACTGGTAGCACTATACTTCCTTCTGGCCTCACCGTTGACCCATTGAACCCAATAACCGGATAAGACACCGGTGTCAAATATTGCCTTCCTATCTTCATTTCATTGAAAGCTTTCATAAACAGAACATTCGCTGAGATGCCCCCATCAACCAGAACTCTCTTGCTGTCGGCCCCATTTATCTTTGTTATTAGAACCAGCGGATCATCATGTGGGAAGACAATTCCCCTTGTGTCCTCCTCTGTAAACACCACGTGAAGAATCGATGCTGGCCGAGGTCGACTATCAACATCCAAGGCATACACTAAATGACGATGCTTAGATAAGTGCTTTTTAGTGCCACTGATCGTTCCCCCATGCACTGGCCCTCCCGTTATCACATCTACTCTTCCTGTGGATAACGTTGGCATTCCTCCGTCCCCTTGCCGAATTATCCCACCTTGTGGTCTTTCCGACTTTGCTTCTAATTGTTGCCTTTCAATCTGCCGAGTGAGTGGCTGACCTCATCCTGCATTAATACCCCTTTCTTATCAACTCCTCAATGTTATCTTTCAATTGTGTGCACTCCTCGGTATAATGACCAACGTCTCTATGAAACATGCAATACTTTTTGACATCCCTCGGCCTTGCCTTCATCGGAATTGGCCTTGTCCATCCTTCTTTGTTCTAATTCACCGAATAAATTGCCTCTCTAGGCGTATTTAACGGTGTATATGAACTGTACCGCATCGGCGGTTTTGCAGCCCTAGCTTCGTGCCGACTTCCCCTTCCTCTGGGTCGAAGTTCTCGGCCTTCCACTTCTAGAGGTTTCACCCTCAAATTGATACTGACCCCTACTGGCGGTCACGCTCTTGTTACTTATCTTCATCAGTTCCTCACTCTTGATGTAATCATGAGCTTTGTTAAAAGCAGCTGCCAATGTCGACAAGTTCTTTCGTGTGAGATAACGCTTAAACTCTGAATCATTTAAGCCGTTCATCAGAGCCATAACATCTATCTCTTGCTGCAACTTTGGAATTGTATTTGCCTCATTGTTAAATCGTCTGATATAATCCCTCAAAGACTCATCCGTCCTTTGCTCTACTGCCATCAATTCCCCTGAAGTTCTCTGTCGTTCACTGTTTCTTACGTACTGCCCCACAAACATCTCAATCAACCTCTCGAAACTGTCTATCATCCCATTTTCAAGATTATTGAACCAATCAGCCGCAACCCCAATTAAGTTGTCGAAAAGACTTTGCACCAAACAACATCTGAATTGGTGTATAACATCATATGTCCTTCATAAGACGTTATGAACCTACTTGGATCTCCTCTTCCATCATACCTACAGCTCGGCATTTTAATTTTTTCCATTGGTTGATCCAAGATACTCTGTGCAAACATTGATGCCCTAAACTAAACCACAGTTCGTGTCACTTGCCCCTCTACCTGGGAGCTTCTCTGCTGCTGAATTCTTGTACTAACGGTGTGACTTGAAGATTGACCTTCTGTCTGCCGTGGTGTTGTATGTGTTCTTAATGGGGACTCATTTCGGCGTCTCCTAGTCGAATTTGTTGCCTGATTATGTTGTTCATCCCAATTAGTTAACGGCACTCCTCCTCTAGCTTGTGTCGTTTCGGCCTCTTTCCATTTTTTACTCATTGCACTCATCACCCTTGCTACTATCTCTAAATCTTCTGGTGTGAACTCGGCCATAGGGTCCTCTTCGACTTCCACATTCCTTAATGGAGTTAACGACATATGGTATCGGTTATCTTCTAGAGTGTGGGTTTCATCCTCTATCTCAATTTCAGGATGTGTTGTAATCGGTCGATTTACTGTTCTACTAATTATTGGTGTTCCATTGTTTTCGGCCATAATTGTTATTACTTTGTGTGTTACGTTCTTAGGCGATAGAAGTGATCACTGTAGTCCCCTCCTTCTAGAGCCAAATTGTTTCTGTCTGTTTCCGATTACCCGAGAGTCCGAACCCGAGATCCTGATACTTCTATCGGCAAGCTGAGAACCTACACAATGAGCAGAGGTTAGCTAACCCCGGGGTGATCTGGGGATAACCACTCTGATGATAAAGTTAGAATGTGTTTAAGAAATAGAAGATAAGTAAGAGAGAGAAAGTAGAGAGAGAGTAATAAATGCCTACCATTAATGAGGTTTAACCCACTATTTATAATAAATATCAAGACAGGTGGTTACAAAGCATGCAAAGCTTTTCTTTCCAAGTGTCAAGCTATTGTTGCCACGTGCCAAATACCAACAAGCAGATATGTCTGCTTTGTAAAACATATCAGCCTATTTACCAGCTATATTGGGTTCATATCCATATTCATGAAAGATGTCAGCCCGTTTCACATATCCCCCCCATACAGTGTTCACACAAGTACTGTTTGGCTATAACGGATTGTGTAAGTATTAATGACACAACTAGGCATATCATTAAGACGGGTTGGTGCGGATGCAGGCCTTCCCATGTCCATTGACAGGGTAAAGTCGTATCCCCTAATCAAAAGTAAATACCTAAGTCCTCTAACTAAAGTAGATAGGAAAGTAGGGTCAAACTCCACAGGAAAACAAGTCCTTTTACTCCTAATTAATTATTATAATCTAAATTATCTAAGTAACCAATATTTTTGGGAATAAATTCTATACTACGAAGAATAAGTTTAGGGAGAAAAACAATAATAAGAAAGCCTAGGGTCACAGGTTCACCAATAATTAATATTCCGGGATAAAGCGAAGTAATTAATAATTAACAATGCACAAATAACATGATTAATAGGCTCTCGCAATTTATTAATCAACATAGATCTAACAGGCTCTCGCAATTTACTAGATCTAAGTTCCTATTGAAAATAGCCTTTAATATTAAATTAACATCTGTTCGATTCATCAATTCAATATTGCTAAACATTTACAATCAAATTACATCTGCTCGATTCATAATCTAATTGCAAAGAATTAAAACAATTCAATAAGAAATTATCATGCAATATCAATAATCAATAATAACAAATTATCCCTTCATATTAATTATGGATCCCCATAAACCCTAGAATTAAACTACTCACACATAATTAAATATAAACTAAACAAAGACAATTACAGGAGACATGATCAAAGAAAGAGAATAAATTACTGAAATTAAACCAAGAGTTATAGAGAGAGAAAATAATACAAAGAGTTTAAGAGGAGAGAGAAAAGAGTTACAGAGAGAAAGAGAAAAGAAAACGAAAACTAAAACTAAAACTAATTTAAAACTAATGAAAAATTAAATTAAGAAAAGAACAAAACTAAAAACTAAACTACTACCCAAACTCCCTACCCCGTACTACCTCCTCATATAGGAAAAGAAAAAGAAGACCAAGTCAACTTCTAAACAAATTAAATAGAAGCCTTTCCAAGAATTTGGTGTACAATGATGAGCCCAAATCAACAAAGCCCAAATATCTGAAGTTGGCGCTGATGATATCATCCCGATCCGGCCAAGACTCGCCCGATCGAGCCCGGTCAGTTGGGGCTGCGAATTGGGCTTCACTGCTCCCTTTTGTTCTTGGATCTGGGCTTTCAGAATTTATTATCCCAAGTTTCTTCACTTCTTTGGTCCGTGATATAATAACTTGTAAAATCTTGGACCTCCTTTCGTATCGAGCCCTTAATCACCAGATTAAATTTCTCTAACTCTGCCTTGGGCTTAAAATATACAGTCATAAAATACGATCAAACTCCAATATCTTTGTAGTGGCTCAATAAGTTCGGAAATTGTCATAATTCTGCAAATTTTTACAAAATAATACCAACTCTACAAAAACACTAGAAAACGTATATTAGTAATAAAAATAGCTCCGTAGAGCTCAAATAAACACAAATATGACCGTGGGACGGGGAATATATATATATATATATATATATATATATATATATATATATATATATATATATATATATATATATATATATATATATATATATATATATATATATATATATATATATATATATATATATATATATATATATATATATATATATATATATATATATAAATAATAGACTTACCATCCATCCTAGCCTAACATATCATTCTTATCCCATCACTGAAATGGATTTAAATCTATCCTAAATTCCGTCTCACCTAGTGTATAACTATAACTGAAGTAGGAACCACTGACATCTTCATTGTTTATATGTCAGCTTTTTATTAAAAAAAATTCCACCAAAACTATAAGTGACATCATTCTGTTTTTTTTCTTTCAAGATAAAGCTATTGTTTGGAAAAGCTAAATTAATTAAACATTTTCATAAAAAATTAACTTTTTTAACTAAATTGAGTAACACAATTTTCTTATAGGAAAAAAAATTATTACGTAATCGGTGGTAGCTCTTTCATTTTTCCTTTTTTCCTCCTATATTAACCACTAAACACTAATGCTATCATTTTTTTTATCTTTTTTTAATTATAAATTAAATTACTACGTAGAATATTTAACATCATGTCTTCTAATATATATGATAAAATATTTTACTGCTTAAACCGTGCATCGCACGGGACTAACATAGTACAAATCTAAAACAATCTCCCACCCCCAAACACACTTAGATATCTCGATGCACCTAATATTAGAGTTGACCATTTTCAGGCTTGCAGGCTTTGGACAGATTTTTTTAGTCCCAAGTCAGGTTGGGCCCAGCCCGGTCCAATTTTTTTTTATTTTGTGGACATGCGTTATTGTGATTTTTAGTTAATTTTTTAGCCCGGTCTGAAAGAGCTTGACCTAGCCTAGCTTGTTTTACGAGTATTGGAAGCAAATTTCAACTCGAAATTTGGTCCGGTCCGATAAAGAGGGATGATTTTGTTGCCTTGGCTAGGCCCAAACCAGGCTTGACTTGCCCTTTGATCACCTTAGACTCGCCTTGAAATACAATTATACTACATGCTAATAATACGACAGTACTAAACATCATATATGTGAGATGTCACACCCTAGAATTTTTTATATTTTTTATTTCCTTTTTTACCCTTAAATAAATTTCTTCCCTGTCAAAAAAATAAAAATAACATCCATTTTAGGATAGAATTAAGGTATTTACTACTACCATGATGATGCCTAAGGCTTTTATCAAAACAAACACTGTGGAAGTCTATCTTAAATGGACAATGATACACATACATTGAATGTATATGGGACACCCCATACTTTACCAATTAATAATTGACAACTCATCATTAGCTTAAAAAAAATGAGAGGGAAAAGTTTTTGGTTTTTGGCGTCATTTACTTTAAAAAGGCGCACAAATTTCATTGGCGCCAAATAATCTTTCTTGTTACTAAAAATATATTTTAGGTTACTAAAATATACAATTTTGTTGCTGAGAAAATAGCATCCTAATCAACGTCAAATGAAGAGAGATG